CCGGTTGTGTAGTGTTAAAAATAGAACCTCAGTTAACACTGAGGTATTATTATTTTTTGTAGAAAAAATCTGACACATTCCTGAGGTCTTTTTTTCTATAGAAAATAATTCGGAGACCTCAGTGAGGTCTTTTTTCTTTAGAGAAAAATTCAAATACCTCAGTGAGATATTATTTTCTATAGAAAAAAATCGGAGATGACATATATTTTTTAAACATTTTGTCAGACAGAACCTAACTAAGGCGTATATTTTATAAATATTTTTTTTTAGAACCTAACTTAGGGGTAGATTTTTTACATAATAATTTTTTTCAGACACCCTACTTTATTTCCGAAAATTAAATTAAATTTTTATAACATTACTACAATTTATTATTACAATTTTTTTTTCGTTGAACTTTCGGGGTTTTTGGGGAGATTGTGTTCTGATCAAATTCAAAGCGACCTGGAATTTCCATTTTCATATTAGAATAAGTCGCACTTTTCCTCTGTAATAATATCAAGACCCTCCCTTCTTCGCTCAGCCTCGGAATTTTTTTCTATGCCGAAAAAATAATGACCTCACTCCACAGAGGTCTCGGAATTTTTTTTTGCTATAAAAAAAAGTACCTATATGGATGCCGATGAGTGTTACATTGAAACGTCATTTTGGAATATAGTACCACCCTATATCTCGGCACAATTTATATCGAAAAGACCTCACTGAGTTCTCGGAATTTTTTTCTATAGAAAAAAAGACCTCACTGAGGTCTCGGAATTTTTTTCTATAGAAAAAAAGACCTCACTGAGGTCTCGGAATTTTTTTCTATAGAAAAAAAGACCTCACTGAGGTCTCGGAATTTTTTTCTATAGAAAAAAAGACCTCACTGAGGTCTCGGAATTTTTTTCTATAGAAAAAAAGACCTCACTGAGGTCTCGGAATTTTTTTCTATAGAAAAAAAGACCTCACTGAGGTCTCGGAATTTTTTTCTATAGAAAAAAAGACCTCACTGAGGTCTCGGAATTTTTTTCTATAGAAAAAAAGACCTCACTGAGGTCTCGGAATTTTTTTCTATAGAAAAAAAGACCTCACTGAGGTCTCGGAATTTTTTTCTATAGAAAAAAAAATACCTCACTGAGGTCTCGGAATTTTTTTCTATAGAAAAAAAGACCTCACTGAGGTCTCGGAATTTTTTTCTATAGAAAAAAAAGACCTCACTGAGGTCTCGGAATTTTTTTCTATAGAAAAAAAAAGACCTCACTGAGGTCTCGGAATTTTTTTCTATAGAAAAAAAAGACCTCACTGAGGTCTCGGAATTTTTTTCTATAGAAAAAAAGACCTCACTGAGGTCTCGGAATTTTTTTCTATAGAAAAAAAGACCTCACTGAGGTCTCGGAATTTTTTTCTATAGAAAAAAGACCTCACTGAGGTCTCGGAATTTTTTTCTATAGAAAAAAGACCTCACTGAGGTCTCGGAATTTTTTTCTATAGAAAAAAAAGACCTAACTGAAGAAAAGTCCACAATATAGGCTAGGAATCCCAAATTGGATTTGAATAAATAAAAAAATAGTATTTCCGAGAAAAATGGCTCCTGTCAATCTAGATTTATACTGGGCCTACCACCACCGCACCGGACCGAAAATAAAAATAGAATTGATTAAAGCCTTTGAATGCATGCCGTGAATGGATGCAGTGGCTGAGAGAATGGCGGGATAGATTTTTTTTAATAAATATTCCGACATCCAAGTGGAACCTTAGTATTCTAACGAGATCTTTCATACAAGGTGTACAATCCTCCCAGCAACAAAATGGGCAAAATTATATATTTCATATTCCTGCCCATCCTGCTCTATGGGATGATTCCCTCAACATTGACCCAGAATTTTGAGATACCATCAGTAATCAATGTGGAGATCAATAAACCCAAAGGCAGCTGTAATCAATCCGTAACCATTGTGAATGGTATACCAATCCACTGTGCCGATGAATTAATTTTCCAAGAAGAATTTGAGGGCAGCACCTTACATCCGTACAAATGGACAGTGGAGAGACGCATCCCTCGTTCCCCCGACTATGAATTTAATTTGTATATTGATGATATAGAGGATGTCCTTAAGGTCGAAAATGGTTTGGTTCATATTAAACCCACATCAACGACGGGATATTTTGGCATAACCAGCGTATCAAAAAGAGAACCCATCGATTTGGGACCAACGTGTACAGGTGAACTGGATTCGGATGAGTGCTTCAGTCACAGTATACCACCCTATATATCGGCACAATTTTCTTCGAAAGACAAATTCTCATTTAAATATGGCCGAGTTGAGGTTCGGGCCAAAATGCCCCAAGGCATGTGGATATATCCTCAGCTATGGTTGCAGCCAAATTGTCCGAAATATGGTTATACCAACTACAATTCTGGACAAATGCGTTTGGCCCAGACACGAGATGATGGTCCGCGGAAAGATTTAATTACCGGGCTGGTGTTAAATTCCGCTCCAGCATGGCATTATCTGCTGCTCTGCATTAATAGTACCCATCAAAATGTATCGGATGAGTTTCACGTCTACGAAATGTCATGGACCCCCCAGGCAATCGTCTTTTCCATGGACGATGAGGAATTTTGTCGTGATGAGGTCAATAGCGAAGCGCAGGCTTATCGTAATATGAAATTATTTACCTAATCGTAATTTCTTGCGGAGTGGTAGTAAATGGGCCCCTTTCGATCAGGAATTTTATTTGCTCGTGGGCGAGGGCATTGGTGGCTTGAGTGATTTTCATGATGGCCACTGATCAAAGGAGAAGCCGTGGAGAAATTCCGATACGCATGCAATGTTTAAATTTCGTAATGCTGTTAGTTGGAATTCGGAGTGGTTGGAGGGAGCCGATTTTGAAGTCGATTATGTGAGAGTGTATTCCGTGTAATAAAAAATAATAAAAAAAAATTTAAGGTATACAGGCCTTGCAAGGATGCGTGGATTTAAAAAAAATTAAACATCTATACAAAACGTAGTTTTTTTTTTAAATATATTTTAAATGTGAGGATTTTTTTAAAAAAATATTTTTTAAAGGTTCCCCACAATGCGTGGATTAATATTAGATTTTTTAAAAAAATATTTTTTAACAAAATTTTTTAAAAAAATATTTTTTAAGAATTTACCCAAGGCGTGCATTTTTTAAAAAAAATATTTTTTTCAGAATTTACCCAAGGCGTGGATTTTTTAAAAAAAAATATTTTTTAAGAATTTACTCAAGGCGTGGATTTTTTAAAAAAAATATTTTTTTAAGAATTTACCCAAGGCGTGGATTTTTTAAAAAAATATTTTTTTCAGAATTTACCCAAGGCCTGGATTTTTTAAAAATAATATTTTTTAAGAATTTACCCACGGCGTGGATTTAAAAAAAAAATATTTTTTAAGAATTTACCCACGGCGTGGATTTTTTAAAAAATATTTTTTAAAAATCTACGCAAGACGTGGATTTTTTAAAAAATATTTTTTAAAAATATTTTTTAAAAATCTACCCAAGGCGTGGATTTTTTAAAAAAATATTTTTTTTCAGAATTTACCCAAGGCGTGGATTTTTTAAAAAAATATTTTTTTCAGAATTTACCTTTTTTTTAAAAAAATATTTTTTCCCCAAGGCGTGGATTTTTTTAAAAAAATTTTTTTTCAAATTTATATTTTTTAAAAATATTTTTTAAAAATCTACCCAAGGCGTGGATTTTTTAAAAAATATTTTTTAAAAATCTACCCAAGGCGTGGATTTTTAAAAAATATTTTTTAAAAATCTACCCAAGGCGTGGATTTTTTAAAAAAATATATATTTTTTAAAAATCTACCCAAGGCGTGGATTTTTTAAAAAAATATATTTTTTTTAAGAATTTACCCAAGTCGTGGATTTAAAAAAAAATATATTTTTTAAGAATCTACCCAAGGCGTGGGTTTTTTAAAAAATATTTTTTAAGAATCTACCCAAGGCGTGGATTTTTAAAAAATATATTTTTTAAGAATTTACCCAAGGCGTGGATTTTTTAAAAAAATATTTTTTTCAGAATTTACCCAAGGCGTGGATTTTTTAAAAAAATATTTTTTTCAGAATTTACCCAAGGCGTGGATTTTTTAAAAAAATATTTTTTTCAGAATTTACCCAAGGCGTGGATTTTTTAAAAAAAAAAAAATATTTTTTTCAGGCGTGGATTTTTTAAAAAAATATTTTTTTAAGAATTTACCCAAGGCGTGGATTTTTTAAAAAAAAAAAAATATTTTTTTAGAATTAACCAAGGCGTGGATTTTTAAAAAAATATATTTTTTAAGAATCTACACAAGGCGTGGATTTTTTTAAAAAAAAAAATATTTTTTTAGAATTAACCAAGGCGTGGATTTTTAAAAAAATATATTTTTTAAGAATCTACACAAGGCGTGGATTTTTTTTTAAAAAAAAATATTTTTTTAGAATTAACCAAGGCGTGGATTTTTAAAAAAATATATTTTTTAAGAATCTACACAAGGCGTGGATTTTAAAAAAAATATATTTTTTTAAGAATCTACACAAGGCGTGGATTTTTAAAAAAAAATATATTTTTTAAGAATCTACACAAGGCGTGGATTTTTTAAAAATCTACCCATGGCGTGGATTTTTTAAAAAAATATATTTTTTAAGAATTTACCCAAGTCGTGGATTTAAAAAAAAAATATTTTTTAAAAATCTACCCAAGGCGTGGATTTTTTAAAAAATATTTTTTAAGATTTTACCCAAGGCGTGGAATTAAAAAAATATTTTTGTAGAGATTTAAAAGGCGTGGAATTAAAAAAAATATTTTTTAAGATTTTACCCAAGACGTGGATTTTTTAAAAAAAAAAAATTTTTAAGAATTTACCCAAGGCGTGGATTTTTTAAAAAATATTTTTTTAAGAATCTACCCAAGTTGTGGATTTTTTAAAAAAATATTTTTTAAGAATCTACCCAAGGTGTGGATTTTTTAAAAAAATTTTTTTAAAAAAAAATATTTTTTTCAGAATTTACCCAAGGCGTGGATTTTTTAAAAAAATATTTTTTTTTCAGAATTTACCCAAGGCGTGGATTTTTTAAAAAAATATTTGTTTCAGTATTTACCCAAGGCGTGGATTTTTTAAAAAAATATTTTTTAAAAATCTACCCAAGGCGTGGATTTTTTAAAAAAATATTTTTTAAAAATCTACCCAAGGCGTGGATTTTTTAAAAAAATATTTTTTTTCAGAATTTACCCACAAAGTTGTAGATTTTTTCTCCTTCAATGGGATTTTGCAACATTTCCTGTTTTTTCCAAAGTCATTTTTATGATTTCATTCATATCGAAATAAAACGAAATTAATGGCTTTCAATCATTGACTAAATATTTTTCTTTTTAAAAATATCTTTGTTGCAAATAAATAAAGAAAATAATAGAATGTAGGCCAACGTGAACGCCCACACAAAATGACACCGATTTTCCGGGCTGCGGAACAGCTAAAAAAAATTGAAAATGAAAAATGCAGTTAGTCCACCGACAACAACGTCATTCCTAGGAAGACAGGCTGTCAGAGAGCGAGAGAGAGTGTCATAAAAATAAATGAGTTGTGTCAAAATATTGATAGTTTTTTTTAAGAAAAAATATTGACATTGTGGCAGGTTTTACTGGGAGGGTGGGGAATGAGACTAATTTAGATGGGGGTAAAAAATTAAGTCTATAGATTAAATTAGAAAAATAAATTATAAAAATTATTTAGCATCTATATAAAAAAAACCGCACATCTTAGACTGAGAAATTCACCTAAAAATTAAAAAAAATCTCTTTTTTGGAAAATTAATTTTTCTTCCCTTCGGAAAATTTTTCAAAAATATAACAAATATTCCATATTATAACCTGAAGGGCCACAAACTTCAGCCTCTCAAAAAATCTGCTGATTGACACGTGAAAAAATTATTTTTCTTCCCTTTGGAAAATTTTTAAAAATTATAATAAATCTTCCATATTATAACCTGAAGGGCCACTACCTCCTACCACTCAAAAAATCTGCTGATTGACACGTGAGCCTGTGAGTTCTGTAGGGCCTGTATGTAAATAATATTCAAATCAAATATTCAAATAGTTTTTTTTTTACCAGCTAATATATTTGTTTTTTTTTTTTCAAAGTCATAAAACAATTACTCATTCATCTTCCTGCCAACGGAATGGAAATCTTCCAACAACGTTGGTTGTTTCGCATTGTTTTTTTTTTCATTTTGATTTGAAAAAAAAACCCTCCAACAAAACCAGGAAAACGTGTGCAAAAAAAATATAAATAAATATTTAAACAAAAAAATAATAATATATAGTTTATTATTATTGTTGTTGTTGTTGCTGCTGCTGTTCACTGCTGGTGAAAATGTCAACAGAATTTAAAACAAATTAATTAAACTAGACAACAACAACAAAATACAATTCATATAAAGAAAACATCAGTTTGGCTGATGTTTGCCTCTCCTAGTGCGAAAAATCGTCTGCTGGACTGATGTTTTTTTTTTCAATTTTCCAAAACATGCGACTATTCTTTTTTGTTGGATGCTGTGTAGGTGTCTATTGTGGATCGTTCTATTTTCCTCGAATTACGTTTTTTTGCTTCGCGTCGTTTTGGAAGATAATGACAAAAAAATCAACGGAATTCAAGGTTAATATTGGATTATTAATGGGCTAATATTAAGGAAGTGACAGATTTTAAACAAAAGAAAAAATTAAATCGAAATAAAAAACAAGGGAAATATAAAAAAAAAATTGGACTACAACAAAGAGGAATGGATCTGAAAAAAAATTATTTCAAAAATCCACGTCTCATATGGACGTTTAACAATCCACGCCTCATATAAACCATGGAAAAAATTATTTAATAATCTACACCTGCAAAAATATTTAAAAAATCAACGACTGTTTAGGACCTGGAAAAAAATTTTAAAAAATCCATGCCTCATATATCAGTTTCAGAAAATTTTGAAGTCGATTTAGCCGTCCGTGCGTTGTCCGTCTGTCTGTCTGGCTGGTGCGCACGATAATTCTCGCAGACAGTAATCGATTTCATTCAAACTTTGCACATCTTATTATTTCTTTCAAACTTAGTATAATTTCGACGATGGGGAATATCGGTCAGGTACCTCTATCACAAAATGGTCAAAATTGTGCTAAAAATTAATTTTATAATAACATGCAAACGGACTATCCTATGTTAATGAAACTTTGTACAACCTATTATTTTACCAAGCCTACATCAAATAGGAATATGGGACCCATTGGTCCACTCCTTCTGCCACATGCCCCACAAATGGTCAAAATTTTCAATATTTGTAAATCCAATATCAGGCGAATGGAAAGTTTGCACAATCCATTATCGTTACGAAGTCTATATTGAGTCCGAAGATGGGACCCATTGGTCCACTCCTTTCGGTACCTCCCTCACAAATGGCCAAAAATTTCAATATTTGTAAATCCAATATCATGCGAATGGAATGTCTGATTTGAACCAAACTTTACACAACCTATTACCTTTACCAAGAATGTATCAAGTTTGAAGATGGGACCCATTGGTCCACTCCTTCTGCTACCTGCCCCACAAATGGTCAAAATTTTCAATATTTGTAAATATCAGGCGAATGGAATGTCCGATTTGAACCAAAACTTGCACAACCTATTATCTTTACCAACCCTAAATCGAGTCCGAAGATGGGAACCATTGGTCCACTCCTTCTGGTATCTGCCCCACAAATGGTAAAAATTTTCAATATTTGTAAAACCAGTATCAGAC